CCCCTTAGTCACCTGGTAGAATGCAGACTTGAATAACATGAGAAGTCTTCTAAAACAGGTGACTAACAGCTCCTAATACAGTAACGTACTGTTGTTCGAATTTATTCATCAGTTTTGTTTCTTCCCAAGAGAGAAATAACAATATTTGCTGTATAGGATAGCATTACTGTGCATAGCATCAGAACCTGTGGAGTACAAAGACAGAAAGAAATCCATCTAGAAATAACTGCCAAAATGAAGAATTTGGCATAAGACCCAAGGGATTTCATTAAGGGTAACCAGGCCTTGGGGACTCCAGGGCCACCAAGATATATTTTCTTTGCTTCTACTTTTCTGGTTTTCCTTTTTCATATCAACTTTTGTCACCTGGTGCTGTCAGTTTCTAAGTCTCCCAGATTCACTGCTTGTGACAGTTGTCTTTCTTTAACTGGTGTCATTCCAGAAGCAAACCATGAAGCGCCGGTTATCTGGGTCATACTGTGTCTGCCTACTACCGAGTAAGGGTTACTTCTATTTACAGACCAAGGAAAACTAGAGAAAAAAACAAATCTGTTCACAGTTGAATCATGGAAGACAATCTGAACATTCTCAACTTGGTTATTGAAAAAAAGGACAGAAGGACATGTCTGGACTGATGAATACTGCTGTACATTGTTGCCTGGGGTCTAAAAGAGCTAGGAGAAACCTATGAACTTTTCAGTCTGTCTGAAGATGATGGCCATCATATGTTGTCAGACACTCCGTAAGCAAAGAATGTATGAAATTCAGTACCAAATCATCCAAGAGTTAACATCTTGTTATCTGCACACAAATACTGATGAATTGCTCTAAGTAAACAGTGTGCTAAGAAATGTAAGAAAGAGTATACAGTATATAATAAATGTTCAAGAGAATGAAGGAAGTTAAAGAAAATCAAGAGGAACTGATTGTCAAGAGACGCAGACTGTCCTAAGAGATTCTACTTCTGAGTCCAGTCAAAAATAAGAATTGTATACTATCCCTCTGCAGTTTTTTTTATGTTTTTCTGTTTATCTGATATACACACATACACATATACAGACAGTTTTTTTAATTGAGATGTTTGTACGTATTTATGGGGTACATTATGGTCATTCAGTAGATGTGTACAGTATATCATAATCAAATCACGGCAGTAAGCATTTCCTTCTCTTAAGCCAATTGTCATTTTTGTGTGTTGGGAATTCATACTGTCCTAATCATTTTGAAATATATGTGATTGTTTTAACCAGTAGGTACCCTACTGTGTAAAAGAAGAAACAAAAATAATTTCTATATTTTGATTTGGGGTCCTTATATCCCCTTCTCAGTATCTAGTGACCATTATTTCTTTCTGTCCTTATTAATCTCCACAAATGAAAATTTGCATATTTCTCTTAATTGACTGAATAATGACCTCTAATTCCATACTTGTTGCAGTAAATGAGAAGACCTCATTCTTTTTATGTTCAAATAGTATTCTATAAATATTTCTCATCATCTTTATCCATTCATCCACTGAAGGATATCTGGGCTGATTGTATATTTTGATTATTGTGAATGGTACATGGGGTGGCAATGAACATGAGTGTGCAGATATCTTTTTGATATGATTTCATCTCCTTAGGATATATACCCAGTGGTAGAGCTGCTGAGTTATATGGTGGTTCTTTTTTTAGATTTTTAAGGAACCTGCATACTGATTTCCATAATGGCTATACTAATTTACATTCCCACGAACACTGTATGTGTTCCCTTTTCTTTTTGATGACAGCCCTTCAAACTGGGGTAAGATGATATCTCATTGTGGTTTTTGTTTTGCAGTTCTCTGGTGATCAGTGAAATTGAGTTAAAAACAATATTCCTAATTTAACAGTAACAATAAAACATCATACCTCAAAAAAGTTCTTGAGTATAACACTCCCTTTTAGAATCTAAGTAACCCTAGAGAAACCAGGTTAAAAATAAAAATACCAATCCTAACTTTATCTATAACTGATCTTTCAGTAATGTGTAGCTATTTGAAATTAATTTCTTTTTGCTAGTTTCTGTAAAGTGTATCTGTTGTAATCAAGTTGACCTGATTTTTCATTTTTGTTTCTGTTGCCACTTCCTGTCTTTCTTTCTGTCATAGTTCTATACTGTTTTCTTCTAATTCAAATAGTTCTCCTTCAAATGCACTATACTGAGTCCACTTTTCACCCTTTCTGTTCTTCACTTAGTCAATATTGGAAGGATTGCTAAATTTTTCTTTGAGAAATGAATTTTTACGCAGTGAGTCCCACTATCTTTGCATGCAAGAGGGAAAAATTTTGATGAGGTCATGGATGTCAGACATTCTTTGTTCTTCATAGTGGAATATTCAGTGAGTATATAATCTTTTGTAGGGTAACAAAATGGTGATAAGCATTATTAAAGAAAATATTCATGCCTTACTACTTTCACTGGAAAGGCTGATTAGCTGATACCTTATACTAGATCTCTGAGATTAGTGATTCTCAAGGTGGTCCCATACTAGTACCAGCAGTATTACCTGGGACTTTTTAAAAAGAAAGATTCTTAGACACCTCATCTAAGTCCTATTAGGTTAGAGACTTGGGTGAGGCCTAGCATCCTGTTTTAATAAGCCTTCAAGGTGGTTTTACTTCTTGTGAATAAGAACAACAATAGAGAACTGGAGGATATTTATTTGATAATCTATATCTTAGAGTAAATCAAGTGTTTTACTCTAGTCTAGAAGATGAGTTCAAAGTAGAGCACTGCCACTTAAGTAGTTGTGTGGTCTCTCAAAATATAAGTTAATTCAGTTGTAAAAATTTGAAGGTAGTTGGGCACAGTGCTGTGTACACGTGTAATCCCAACTATTTGGGAGGTTGTGATAAGAAATGTGAGTTCAAGATAGTGAGACTTCATCTTGAATTTTAAAACATAAATAAAAATTAGGGGAAATATTAACATACATTTGGATGGTTTTGAGGATAAGCTAAATGTGGAACAAGATCTTCATGAATTCTTAAAGCCTATATAAATATTATTTGCAAACCGCTCTACTAGTGGTTCCTGCTTTGGCTCTTATTCATACTGGTGGCATTAGTGACTCTTGTTCATAGTAGTAACTTAGGTACTGAACCTGCTTCTAATTTGGGGTGCAAGGTGAGTTTAATATTATATGAGGTGGGATTAGGAGGTCTGGGTATTACAATAAAGTTTTTATCTCAATGCACGTTGTTTGTCTCTGCTTGTTTTCCTCATTTGCAAATAAAGGTAGCAAACACTCCTAGGTTTTTTTGTTGTTGTTGTTTTTGTTTTTTAAGATTATCTAATGAGATTGTGTAATGTTCTGACTGCTTAAGAGAGAGAAGGTGAAATCAAAGCATGTATCATAGCTTCCTGGAACATAAGAGATACTTGATAACAACTATTATTGTGTATAAAACTTTCCTTTTCTGTATCTTTCTTCTCTTTCTTCCTCTTGATTTTGAAGTTCTGTTTTACTAAGTACTGACTCCTGATATGCCAGTTTCAATGTCCTATACTAGATCCTTGGTACATGGGCCAGATCTGCATAGACCAGATCCTTGAACACCTCAAACACTATATGCTGTACATAACCATAGTGTAAAAGTTGTCAGTTAAGTATGTCAACTGGTCATTTCAGCTGGAGTGGCAATATCTTACATGATATAGTTACCACTTTTTAGGTTATACCATCTGCAAATCCTTGGTTTCTCTTTCAGATACAGGATTACAAATTGGTTTCCATTTACAATGGGAAATAGAAGTATCAATTGGTATTTTTTTCCTGTAACAAATTTTCAAATTATAAGCCAGGTATGGTGCTGTACACCTGAAATCCCAGCATTTTGGGAGGTTGAGACAGGAGGATTGCAAGTTTGAGGTTAGCCTCAGCAAATTAGTGATGTCTTCAACAACTTACCTTCAACAACAGACCCTGTCTCAAAATAAAAAAATAAAAGGATAAAGCACCACTAGGTTCAATCCCTAATACACAACCCCCCCAAAAGAAAGAGTTTCAAATTATAATTGTTAGATTACTTACTGAGTGTGGATTCCTGATGATGGGGGTTAATTTTTGTTATCTGTGTGATAGTATCAGGTTTTATTTTACATTCTGACATACTCATTGTCTCTGGAGCAATGTGTTCAACACATGGGTTGAACTGATTTCTTTCCATAAGTAAGGCACAAAATGCTGGGGAAATATAAAACATGTCTTATTTCACAAGTACCATTTTTCTGAGATTTAAACTGACCAACACTTCTGTTTTTGCTCATTGTGTGTTTATGTGTGTTATTTGTGTGTGTGTGTGTGTGTGTGTGTGTGTGTGTGGTGTTTAAATAATTAGGATTAAACTTTTTATAATCATAATTTTGTTGTGTTATCCTGATACTTATATCACTTCGTTACTGATTAGAGTTGAGCACCTTCTACAGAAAATTGGCATCATTTCACTGAATAAGGATATATCTATTTCATCCACAGAAGGTTTGTTTGTTGGGAGGATTAAAGAAGGTTCCTGGATGAGGCACCATTGTGTACTTTTTTTATGGACTTTTTGAGTTAGCCAATTTAAATCTGGCTCCATGATGTGTAACTTGTGGTTTTGAAGGAAATGTTTACCTGTATTCTTTTATCTATGAAATGGAGATAATGTAAGAGTTCCATAACATAGATGGCAAGGATTGCACAAGTAAATGATTCTGGATTACGATAACCATATATTTGTTATGTAACTAATATATTCAGTATCATTCCTGCATATGTTATCACTACTTTTCAGTGATTTGGTTGGAATTATAATTGATGAGGCTTACAGGAATATTTAAAAGACTAGGATTTTAGGCTTTAGAAATATTTTACCTTTTATTATTTGAAAATTCTTGATAAAAGTTTTAAAGGTAATCTTTTGTATAGTTGTGGTATAGTCTAGAAATACGAAATCACCAATTTCAGAAACTGACTTTTATTTTGGTTTATTTAGGAAGGCGACATGCCAATTCATGAACTTCTCAGTCTTTATGGTTATGATAGTACTGTTCGACTACCTGAAGAAGATGAGGAGGAAGAAGAGGAGGGTGAAGATGATGAAGATGCTGATAATGACGACAACAGTGGCTGCAGTGGGGAAAATAAGGTAAGGTTATACACTGTACAGTATTTTCCTTCTTATTGGTGGAGGATATATGTTCTAAGACCCTTAATAGATGACTGAAACAAAAATACAAAGCTCTTTGAGGTTTGTAAATTAGGTATAATAAGAGATTGAATGTTAAATTTTAAAATATTATGGAAATTTATAATATAATAATAAACAGCAATTTGGTCATTGTCATCTCATATTTCTTTTCAATACCTTTTCTCAATCATATATGAGCTTACATAAATTTTTTTTAAGTTACTGCTTTTAAGTAATAAAGCAAAATTGGCAATGTGCATTCATTTTTCTGTTTTTGTTTTTTAATATAATCTTAGATGCAAGAAGAGGTTCAAAATTGCCATAGGAAGTTTCTTTACCCTTCAGTCAGGTCTGTTGGCACACACTGGTAATCCCAGCAAATTGAGAGGCTGACGCTGGAGGATCACAAATTTGAGGCCAGCCTCAACAATTTAGCAGGATCCTAGCTCAAAAAAATAAAATTAAATTAAAAAATCAAAAATAAATAGAAAGGGCTAGGATTTAGCTCAGTGGTAGAGTAACCCTGAGTTCAATGCCCAGTATTGCCAAAAAAAAAAGTCAGTTTCTGCATTCTTCACCCAATTTCCCTTAATTTATGTTAAATAAAGATTAATTGAAACTGAGAAATCACTGATATAGTACTGTTAACCGTAGACTATTTGAATTTCGCCAGTTTTTCTACTAATTTTCTTTTTCCTATCCCAAGGGCCAAACCACAGCATCATGTTGCTACTAGTTTATTTTAGTCTTCTAGTTATATTTAAAACAAACTTTGAACACCATGGTGTTCCATCTGCAGTGCAACTGTGTTCTTTACATCTTAAATAAATTTATTATTTCATAGGAAGAGAATATAAAGGATTCATCAGGTCAGGAGGATGAAACTCAGTCTTCCAATGATGATCCATCACAATCTGTTGCTTCTCAAGATGCCCAGGAAATAATTCGCCCACGTCGATGTAAATATTTTGATACAAGTATGTGATATTTTTAATATAGTTGAAATATAATTTTTACTATTTTAAACATTACCTGTGATTCTAATGTGTCTTTCACTATTCTGTTTGAATTCATTTATTCTGATATCTATTTCAAAATTAAATGGAGTTTATTGTAGATTCTTTGTTTAGCAATGCTAAGGCCCTTTTGTCAGTAACTATATAGTAATTATTATATCATGTATTACCTCATTGAATGTGTTCCTTTTATTTCTTGTACTCTTTCTCTTAGTTTTCATTTTTTCCTTTTGTCTCAGCCTTTTTTAGGTATACTCATGTATCACTTAACAAATGAGATGCATTCTTTTTTTTCCTGTTTTCTATTGGTGCATTATAATAGTTCATAATGATGGGATCTGTTATTACATATTCATATATGCACACAATGTAACAAGATAATTTTGGCCAGTATCATTTCCCAACAACTAGAATATGTTCTGAGAAATGTATTATTAGGTAATTTCTTGGTTGTGAGAACATAAAGAGTGTACTTAGATGAACTAAGTGGCTACATCACCATATACTCTTATGGGACCACCATAATATATGCAGTCTGTTGTTGACTTAAAGGTCTTTATGCAGAGCATGAGTACATTGCTTTGTCTACCTTTGTGGCTCCCGGGTCTAAAGAAGTGGTTGATCTTGAGGTAGAAACATATTTGTATGTTTCATCTAAGTCCACCATGTTTCATTGTAAGTCCACATTACTCTAGAAGATAGCTTTTTGATAAGTCAGCTGCCAATATTATAAGATTGTTTATGGTCTAAATTTCAGTACTTTAAAAAGGAAGAAAATTGTGTGAAGAAAAATAACCTCATGAAATCTTGTATGGAAATAACTAAATTAAACACGGCTACTACTTTATGTGATTGATTGTTACACATTTAATTTAGAAGTGAACTTAGTACTGCTAATTATAATTTTTGTGAAATAATAATTGTGAGTTTTTAATCAAAGATGGTCCAAGTGAAAGTGTTAGTGCAAGAAGATATTAGTTACTGAAATAATTGTTAATTTTCTTTAAGGAAAATGTTGTTTTTCCCTTAAGGTAAATCAAGATCCACTTGCCAATGTCTGATTAAAAGTAGGATGCTAAGTGGCTACTCTGCCTCTTTGAACAATATTTATTTGAAACTTCTAATCTGGTATTTCAGTTATGATAGATATGTAGAAACTATACATATACCTCCTATCTTAGCTTCTCCATGGCAGGCTTACGTTATTTTTATGTGTAATATCTTTTTGAACATTGTGTGCCATTTTAGATTTGAGAAAATACTGACACTTTAATAATTTTCCTATTTCCTCCCTTTTGTGTAAATGCATTCTTACTCCAGAATGTAAACAAACAACAGCTTGCCGGTTCTGAATAAAATGGAGGTTGGGAGAATTGAGGTCTTTCAGATGTAACCCTTATTGCACATGTTCCACCTTACTGCACTAATTTTGTAGTAAATAAATTAGTTTTCCAAGAGCACTGTTTGGAAACCACTATTTTATCTAGACTCAAAGAAATTGAGATAATGTAATTTATTCCACACAAAGCTGTTGGTAGCAGAGTGAGGATTAGAAGCAGATTATCTTGACTCTAAATCAGTTTTCCAGAAGTCTTTATAGGAAATCATTTCCTGAGACTATATTTGTCCTAAAAAGTTATGGGGTTTTTTTTTTATTATTTGCTTTTTATTTGTTTATTTTGGTGAGAGAGCAATATTCATTAAAAATATCTTGGCCTAACACAGCATATGCCTTTTAACATATCTAAATTTTTATGTTAAATGTAAAATTATTTTAAAGACACATAGATGTAGACAGAATAACTAACCATTTTATATTATTGTTATTTATTCTAGATAGTGAAATAGAAGAAGAATCTGAAGAAGATGAGGATTATATTCCATCAGAAGACTGGAAAAAAGTAAATAGAACCATATTTTCCCAAAACTTAGATAAATCAATATTTAAAAAGCCAAATGTAATTGTTCTTTTATTATGTATTTTGATAAAATTGATGTGTCAGCCTTTTGTGACAGGTAAGCATTTGGTAAATGTTCAAATTTCCATTTAAAATGGTCAGATAATCTTCTTTTGGTACTAGGGATTTGTATTAGTGAGGGTTCTCTACAGGAACAGAATCAACAGGAGATAAATGGGTGGATGGGTGTGTGTGTGTGTGTGTGTGTATAATAACCACATATATGTGATTATGAAGAGGAGTAGTAGGGATTTGTATTAGGGTTCTCTAGAGGAACAGAACCAACAGGACGTTTATTTATTTATTTATAATCATATATATGTGAGTATAAAAGGGAGATATATTAGATTGACTTACACAGCCAGAAGCTGGGTAGTCCCTCAGAAGAGTGAGTGAAGAAACTAGAGTCTGATGTCACAGCAGCAATCAAGAAGCTATTCAAGAAGAATCAAGCTTGCGTCTGCTGCTGCTTCCTTGTTATTCCAACCTTTGTTCCCATCCAACCCCTTCAACTTTTAGTTGGTACTACATACTTTGGGTGGGTCACCAGTTCACTGTTCCACATGCTAATCATTTGTAGAAACACTCTTATCAACACCCAGAATCTAATCAAGTTCACAGTTCAGATTAACTCTTACAGAATTGAACCCAGGAATACTCTATCACTGAGCTACTTCCCTATCCCTTTTTATTTTGAGACAGTGTCTCACTAAATTGTCCAGGCTGGCCTCAAACTTGCTATCCTCCTGCCTCAGCCTTTGCTGGGATTACAGGTATGAGTGCATGTGCCACCATTCCTAACATTTAGGTCTTCTTTGTTTTTGTTTTTTGTTGAGTCATACGTGGGATTGAACCCAGGACCTTGCACATGCTCGGCAAGCACTCTACCAGTGAGCTACATCCCCAGCCCTTGTCTTTTATAAAATAAAATGACAATATGGAAAAAAAAAAAAATTGGACTGTGCTAAGCAAGTCAGTACTAAAAAAAACAATTTTAGAAATCAAAATTTCTGAACTAATCCTGAACTAATGCTTAATTAGGCTCTTATTGCCCTGTAATAAATATCACATATGACTTTTTAAAGGTCTATATATTGGAAAACAACTGTGGGAGCTTTGATATTTGTTAAATAAATGCTGATAGTTAAAATTGCAAAATTTTCATTCTCTATCATTTTATAAAAGGAAAACTCTCAGAATGATTGAATTTAATGTTATTTGTAATTGATAAGGCTATTATGTAAAGAAACATTTGGCTTCTGTATATACACAAATAAGTCAATTTCTAAAAGGAATCTAAAGTAGTTTTTATTTACAGGATATATATTATTATATAATTAGCCATAATGTTGAAGAATTAATTTTAAGTTGTTGCAGAGAAGTTGACCTCTTAAGAAAATCTATCAAATGTTACATGGACTTGGTTAAAATCATTTACATAGAAGAAATGACGTAATTCTTGTTGAAATAGAGGACCTTGTTCATAGATTATCTTGTTGAAAGATATTTGCTTGATATATCCTCTTTTATTTAAAAAAAAAAAAAAATCTAGTTGACTTTTTTGTTTTTCTTCTTCCTGAGTTTGATTATAAATTTAATGCATGAACTCTGAAAAGTCAAGATTCTTAAATCAGTTAATACTTTCAAGCCATTTCCATGTTTTTGGGTAGATTTTTTTTTTCTCTAGAAAAAAATCTTTTTTCAAAAAAAGAGCTGATCCTTTTGATGATTAAAATAGGGAAACATTTTAGAGTTTCTGTTGAAAAGAGGGAAGTAGTCAGATGTGCTTGGATTGTACCACCTAAAAATTCTTGCTTCAGCCAGAATTGATCTAATTATAGGTTTTCAAAGGGACATTTCTCATAGACATAGACACACATTGTATCTGTTAGCAAAGGTATAGAGGCTAGATAACTTTGAGTAATTATTGGTGTCTGAATAGTTGGAAAAGCATAGATTGTGCATTCAGAAAGTGACTGAATACCTGTAATTTGCATAGATATTAAGAACTTTTCTCCAGAAGCTTAGTTTTTTGCTTCAGGAATGGAGGAACATCCCTTGGAACATGTTATATAAGTACATATATTATTAAGTGTTGAATTGAATGAAAGCAACAAAAAAGATGTAAAAGTTAGAAAAGAGGTATCACTGGAGGCTAGAATGCTCAGGGGCAATTATCCTAGCGTGTTTTAATTAACTGGAGTGAGTGATGGAACTGAAGACAAAAAACAAGGATCATAAAAATTACTACCTGTTGGAACTAGTGTAGTTAATGAAGAACAGAAGTTTAGAGAGGGAGAGCTTAGGAGAGGTGAAACCTTTGTTATTGGGGGTTATTTCTTCCTCAGGAAAAATTACATAATAAAGCAGGCTATAGCAAATGTAGATCATTTCTTTCAGTATAATTTTGTTATAGCAAATAATGTTAAGATTGAGAGATTTGTTTTTTAAAGGTTTATAAGATGAAGTTGGATTTTAATAGAACTAGGGTAGTAGAATAGCTTTTAGGTCAAACCTGAGTTAAGTTGTAGCTATAGAACTTACTAATTCTGTGTTCCTGAAGAAATTCCTTTTAGCTTCATCTGTTCATAGATTATTTGAGAATAACAATGACAGCCTTATGGGGCTTGATGGAGAGTAAATGAAAGTTACATATAAGATATCTGGCACATAATGACCTCAAATGCAATTTCCCTTCTTTTCTATATTACTACAGAAAAAGCAGGTGAAAAGAAATATTCTGAACTTAGTAGACAAAAGGAAGTATGGTGTTTTCATACTAGCTCAGCTATTCCCAATCATGGCTTCATGTTAAGAGTCACTTGGAAAACTTTTAAACACCACCAGGGCCTTTATCCATATATTATTTAATTGGTCTAGAACAGATCCAAGCATTGATATTTTTACAAGCACTGCCAGGGTTGATAACTTGACTATTCTTTGGTAGGCATGGGTGACTAAAGTTAAAAATAGGTACAGGGAATGACAATAAAAAACTCTCTTAATAGCGGGGAAAAAAAGAGAATTCCTATATAATTGCAGAGAAAATTTTGTTCTATACAATATTCTTTTTAGAAAACTAATCATAAGAAAGACTGATTTTCCTCTATAGGTACCATAATAACTATTACATACAGTATGTTTTTGGAGTTAAAATAGGTAAAATGAAGTTCTAACATCAGTGGGATAACAATAACAGGAAAGAACTTTTCAATCCTAAGAGATAAGTAACTTCCTAAACCATGATTTTGTGTCTGTCCTGCCCTAGACTTTATTTTGAAAATGTCAATTAGTTTGTTTTCATCATTTTGCCACTAGTCAGAAGAGGGGTTTTGTAATCTTGATTCTCATGAATTGTTTTTTTGTTTTGTTTTGTTTGGTGGTGCTGAGGATTGAATCCAGGGCCTTGTGCATGCTAGGCAGGCACTCTAAACTGAGCTATATCTTCAACTCTGGTTCCCATGAGTTGTGAAATCTCATTAGTGTTGATTTTCAGTTGCCTTTCTGAATAGCCAGTTTCACCTAATCTGATAGGACTATATAGATTTGATTATCAGATTTCCTGTGATAATTTAATTCTGATTTTATGGAAGTTCTTTTAAGTTTTATATTGATTCAATAAAAGTTAGACACTAACCTGCTTTATCCATTTAGTTTGGAGTTTGATCCATTTGGTCTCAACAGAGCTTTATACAAAACTTTTGTATTACTTCCGTAACCCTAAAGCTCTGCTTCCCAGAATTAAGTTTATCTCCGAATCACCTAGAGAGTGTTAAGATACTGAGTTCTATCATCAGCATTTCTGGTTCAGTAGCTATGACATGGGACGCAAGCATTTGGGTTGCCAACAATTTCCCAGGGAATGTTGATGATGCTCCTGATACAAATACCATATTTTAAGACCACTATCTTAAATATAGATACTCTTGAAGGAAATGCTGTACTTTCAGGTGTTTTGTGATTATCTGATTAATTGAATATAGAATTCACTTTTCATTTTTTATTCATTGTCTACATTGCATTTCACCCCATTGTTATTGCTAATATATTCATCCAGTCATATCCAAGCTCTTATCTATTATTAACTCATTCATCCTCACAATACTGCACTGAGGTAATTAATTGGTTGTATCTGTGTTTTATGACAGAGAAACCAAGGAGAGCTTACTCAAGAAGATGGTTAAGCTAGAAAATGAATATAAAATCTATGTTACTAGCTCTGACTACTGTTTTATGTTATTTTTAAAATAGGAGATTATGGTGGGCTCCATGTTTCAAGCAGAAATTCCAGTTGGCATTTGTAGATACAAAGAAAATGAAAAAGGTGAGTTAGTACTGAACTTACATAGCTGCTTAATCTGTTAAGGTGATGAACTGTTATTTTATATTTAAAAAGAGCTAAGAACTTGACAGCCTACTAAATAACCTCATTGGTTTATGAATGAGAGCCCTGTATTATATTAAGAACTATAATCTACTGTTTTCTAGTTTTGCCCATATAAGTCTAGCAAAACAAAAAGTGAATGCTTTTTTGTTTTTAAGTAACTTAAAGCATCCCAACTTTATTTTTTAAAACAAAAATTTTAGAAAGAAATTTAATATTTTAAATGCTCTAACTTTATCTTTTTTAACCTTATGAAGGAAACACATAAACATTTATTTTAAATTTAGTTTTTTAAAACAGACTACTTTGTATCAAAGGTTTAAAAATAAACTGGAGAGTAAACAACTGTGTTTTTGGTTTTTGTTTTTTTAAAAAAAGCTTATTTGCTTTTGAAACTTATGTTACTGAAAAAGATGACTTTGGTATTTGTGTTTTTAAAATGATTTGCAAATACAATTTATTTTCTTAAATGAGCTCATATACAGTGTAAAGTCTCTCAAAACTTGACATTTTTCTTCATTTGTTTTTAGTCTTTTCCACATTTCACCTTTATGTACAGAACTCTTTAGAGTTAGGAAGTCTTTTGTCAGTTTATTTTCTTTTGCTTATTTTCTTTCCCTCCAAAAACTTATTTTATGTTTTAAAAATGTATATACCCTCAAAGCAGTCAAGGAAACACCAGAGGCCAGTAAATTTTTGTGACATAAATTTTGTTTTGATAGGCCACTTAAATGTTTACCACTTTCATTCACTTTTCAAATTCTGGTAACATATAGGACTTGTTATATGTTGAGATTTTGTGCATATATTCTGAGAACATGTTTTAATTGTGTGCAGAAATGAGTCATCCATTGGATTTTATATTTTACTTTTTTTTAAAATTTTTTTTTAGTTGTAGTTGGACACAATACCTGTATTTATTTATTTTTATGTGGTGCTGAGAATCGAACCCAGGGCCTCACATGTGCTAATCAAGCACTGAGCCACAATCCCAGCCCTATTTACTTTTTTTTTTTTTTTTTTTTTAATTTAAAATATTTTTCTTTACTTGTGTAGTGGTTAGTACCATGGATTTCTTTTCTTTTTTTTTTTTCCCCCCGCAAATAAATGAAGAACTGAAAATTCAACCTTTGTTTCTTTTTAAAATGTGGCTAATTTTGGCTTCGTGTTTTCAATTTTAACACTATTTTCAAAGCAGATATACATGATTCTTTTTCAGGAAAAGATATGGTTTATGAAGCACTCTCATTTTAAGAGTTTGAACATATTGGAATTTGCATGGAAGATTAGACTAGACTTAGAAGAGTGACCTTGTTTTGGAGGGGTCACTGTGGTATAGGGCCTTTCCTCAGATGCCAAGTTCTGAAAATGGAGGCTTTTATCAGGATGCCTAGAATTTGTCTCCATTTATGGTACCTCTGTACACAATCTGAACCCAGGAAATCATTTTGTAAAGTATCCTATACAATTAGAAATAAAACTTGTCAAAAAGGTAGTGTTAACTAGTGCATTCTTATTGAAAAAAAAAAAATTTGTAGGATATTTTTCATGTTTAATATAAACATAGACTTTAATAAAAGTGTCCCCCAAACCAAGATATCCCCTTATCTTTATTGTAGAGATTATATGACAGATACATCAGCAGTCACTTTTTTTTTTTTTTTTTTTTTGCTACTAGAATTGAACACGGGGATGCTTTTAACACTGAGGTAGCCCTAGTTCTTTTAGCATTTTATTTCAAGATAGAGTCTCACTAAGTTGTTGAGGCTGGCTTTGAACTTGCAAGCCTTCTGCATCAGCCTTCCCTAGTCTCTGGAATTACAGGTGTGCACCACCATGCCTGGCAGAATTCTCCTTTTCATCAGTATCAGAAAATCACTCTCCTGATTATCCTGGAGGGTTACTGACACATTTTTTCCTCTCTGCCCTTGGATATTCTTTCTAATAGAAACACTTAAACATTTGTTAGTTACAGTCATATTTCATGCATGCTTCTTTGAACCTGTATCTATTTTGGTTACAAAATCTCCTTAGCTACCATTAAAATTTTCCTAAATTTATGTAAATTATAATTTATACTCAACACAGTATACAGTCATCCCTTGCTATATGTGGGTGTTGGTTTCAGGACACCCCCTCACCCTGACCTTGTGGATACCAAACTCTGCAGATGCTCGAGTACCTTATATAAAATGTCATAGTTTTTGCATTTATCATATGCACATCTTCCTATATGCTTTAAAATTATCTCTGGATTACTTCCAGATACCTAATGTAATGTCATTGCATTTAACCAGATATATCAAGAAGAAAAGGTTTGTACATACTCCACAGTTTTTTTTAATTCCAAATATTTTCAATTCATAGTTGGTCAAATCCACAGGTGCAAAACCTACAAATATGGAGGGCCAACTATATTATAATCATTTGTTTATCCATCTGTGTATCCTTATTGCTAATTAGTTGATTTTTACTACATAGGCACTTAGTAAAACATTTGGTATGTGAATTAATAGTTGGGTACAGAATGGTGTTATCAGAACTGGATATGTAGTTTGTAATTTCGATCAGTACCCAGCTATTTGGCCTTAGGTACATTATTTATTTTTCTCCTTATCTATAAAATTACAACAGTAATATGTATTTATAGAGTTTTGTAATGATTACAGGTGAAATTTTCTGTAGAACAAGCTCGTAAGTGCTTAGTTAGTGGCATTATTAGTTAGTCTTATAAATTATGTTTAGTTTTTACCAGCCAGTCTTCAGAAAGCATCAGTTGACATTTGATACCCTTTTGCCTGCCAGTGACAAAAATCCAGTTCAATTATTTTAAGCAAACAGAATTACTGGGTTGCTTTACTGGAAATCTTTGGTGATCTGGCTTCAAACACAACTGGATTTAGGGAGCTCTTATGCTCCCTTTTTGATTTATTGTCAGGCAGTCTAAGATGCCTATTGGGAGCTTTTACTTATAGCATGAGAGCCAGCAAAAATGAGATTACCTCATCCCCTGGAACTCCAACAGAAGTCCTGGAGAGATCCCCTATTGACTTAGCTTGAGTCGTGTACCTGACCAGAGGAAATCACTATGACCAGAGATGAGTTTATACTCTAGTTTGCCCTTGCCTGTCACTCATTTATCTGTTCCTGGGACTCTTGGGGTATTATAAGCCCTATCCAGACTGTAAGAGAAAAGGTTTAATTCTGAAAGAAATGAAAAAATATCCTACTGTTCATAAGGTATTTTTCAGTTATGCTTTGTGGTTTCTCCCACATGCTAAACTGAATAAACACTGTGGTTTTGTGATAAGACCAGGTAAAGAATACTGTTAAACAATCTACGTTGTACAGGACAGCCCCTCACTACTACTAAGTACTATTGAACCCAAAAAAAAAAAAGTCAGTGCCAAAATTGAAAAACTTGGACTAGATAAATTGAAAATGATGAACTCTTTAGGAAAGTGGAAAAGACAAGGGAAAGGAGCATTCATTATGTTTTCATACTTACATGACAACTTTTAGATGGCCAGGAATTATTAAGTAGTGAGTAAAAAAGGACCATGTAAATTGTATCTAAATAACATTGTGTGAATTATTTTTCTGTGTTGTTTTTGAGATGGGATCTCACTGTTTCATTGTCAGGCTGAATTCATGGGCTAAAGTTATCCTCCTGCCTAAGCCTCTTGAGTAATTGGAACTACATACAGGTTTCTCTGTGCATCTGGCTCTTATTTTTATTTCTTAAGTAACTGAACTAGAAAAGTGAATAAATGCATTACTCTTAATTGATACAAGTTGAATATACCTTTTTCAAAATGCTTGGGACAGAAGTATTTCAGATTTCAGAGCATTTTGGATTTTGGATTTTCCAATTTGGTATGCTCAACCTATACTAGGATTGTTAAAACAGGCAGTTTATTAAACCTGTTGGGAAAAGTTACATAACTTAAAGGCCATGTCAGTTAATCATTACTGTTACATTTTTAAAATGTGATTTCTGCTGTGTACCCCATTATTACACCAAAGTACTGGTTCTAGATCAGCATTTTCATCCTTAGCTATTATATTGGATTACATAGAATTTTTACTTACGCATTAAAAATGAAATACTTTTAGTGATACTGGCAGTTAATAAGTAGACATTTATTCATTGAAAATTAGTATCCTAGATGGTGAAAGTTTGTTCATAGTTTTGTAGTGGTGGTCTGTCAGTTTCCTATGTCATTTTTTTTTTTCATTCTCAAGTCAGAATGCATAGTAACCCCCTCCAGCTTCTTGCATGCAGTCCCTGCTGTCCCAATCACACATGGTGGATTTTGTGAAATTATTTCAATGATCCATTTTGCTTATTTAACAAGCTTAATTTGATTACCATCAATTTTTCAAATTGTATTTGGGAAAATAAAATAGCTGAAATGAGACATGTCAGTGCCTTGCTGAGTGTGGTCTGTAGACCAGCACCATCAGAATCGTCTGTGAATTCACAAGAAATGCAGAATCTGGGGGTCCTATTTCATACCTACGGAGTCAGAATCTTTAACAGACAGCAGGAGTACTTCCTCAACTTGCCTCAACTTACTAGTGAATTCTTGCCTTCTGAATTCAGTCATTTTATGATCACATGAGATCGTGTTTTCTAGTAATATAGTTGCATATATTTGTGCTTGCCTTTTAAAAGTTCTGTTTAAATGTGGCAATTGATTTAGAATGAAATAGTTTCAGAAGATTGTGTCACATTTCAGTGATTAAGATCTTAAAATCCAGCAGGCTTATGTCATTTAATGTAATTATGATGAAGAGTAATTTTTTTCCATTCTTTTGATGGTTTTTTGTTCCCATCTTATTATACATATAGACATTATTTCTCTTTTGGTCTTTGCTGTGTTTTATCATAAGAGTGGAGTTTTGAATTTTTAGTCATTCCATAACACATTTCATTAAAGGCTCCTATTACCTATGTTTTATTGAATCTGTTGTCAGAGCTTACATATTTTATTTAAGTGTAAATTTAATAGGAAGATCATTTGGTCTGTGTCTGGAATCAGTAAAGGTTTATTCTCTTTGTAAATGCCATTTGGTCTCGCCTTATGGTCATTATTGAGTTCACTGTAATTGTGTAAATGAAGTATATTATTCAAAGGTTTTTGAAATTCATCAGGGCTAGCCTCTTGTGTTTAGCCACAATTCCAAGAGTCTGACTTTTGTGATTTGGTGCCATCTGGTGATGGCAAGTTGTCCACTTGACTAAAGTAAGACTATATTTATATTCCATGACCCCAAAATATTGGTAGTGATAACAGAAACATCTTCCAGGTGGTTTGTGTTTATGTCACAGGCCTAAATGGGATGATCTAGCTGGGAGAGCACTTGAGACTCAGGGACCCAACTTTCTCAAATAGCCTTGTCCACCCCCAGAATAAAAGTAATCTATATTGTGCTGTTTCTGAAGAACAGACTTGAGAAGAGAACAGAAATCAAGAGCAGTACTCCAAATTCACTCTTGTGGGAATTTTTTATATTTACTATTTAGAGTTTAACTAGAATTATAGCGGCCGGTTAGAAAAAGAATGATGTTTTTTAAGGAAAAATTTCTAGATACCATCCTTTGTACTTTAAAGAAGAATATCTATTTTAGGGAACACAAAAAAAGTAGAAAATTTTAAGGAAATATATGTGTTGTTGGAAGACAAGGTAATTTATGTGGAACCACTTAAAATATTGCTTGGTACATAGGGGATAATTAGCTGTTAATTCCTTTTCATAATAAAAAATTATTGATGTTAAATTTTCTCTCTCAAGTGGGCTCCTTAAATAGTCTGGAATTTTAAATGACAAAAACCATTTAAAATCTAATAAAAACTGTCTACAACTCTACTTCCCCTCTAACTGTTGTGCTGTATCTTCACCCTCACAACCAAACTCTTCTGTAAGAATTTTCTGCTTTATTTCTTCACTTTCCATTCACTCTTCAGACTGCTCCATTGTGGCTTCTGTTTTCACCTCAGTACAAAAACAGTTCTTACAATATTTACCTCCTTGATAATAAATCTAGTAACTTTTTCAGTTTTCATCGTGGTTGTTCAGTAAGATTTAATCAGTCTTTGAAACACTCTTCTCTTGGCTCCTAAGATGCCCTACTCTTTATAATCTGTGTTATAACTGTTCCTTCTTAATTTTCTGTTTTCAACTTTTTTTGGTAGATACTTTTTATTATTTTATATGAATGTAAGTTGACATGTAGAATTCATTTTTCTCATTTTGTTCAAAATAAAATTTGAAAATGCTGTCTTCTCATAACTCCAATGTTTTCAACTTCTTGACATTTAAAATTCCAATAGTCTGGTTTAGGTCATCCTTCTTTTATTTTTTGAATTTTGATGAAATTTTGGCTTTAATCTTAACAGTGGAAACAATGATAAAACAGATTTTTTAAAATTATGACTTTTATGGAAGTGATACGTATACATTATAATACGTTGTTGATAGTTGTAGAAAAATATGAAAGTGACAGTAAAAAATATTGCTCCAAATCTCACCACCAAAAAATAACCAGTGTTAACATTTGCTGAGCATTTTTCTGACATTGTTTCAAAAATAATCACAGCTAACATCCATTGAGTTCTCATACATTAGAACAGTTTTAAAGTGCTTTAAATTCTTATACCTTCACAAGATAGAGTTATAGTTACCCCACAGATAAGAGGAAGTAACTTGCCTCGGGTCATATAAGTAGTAAGTGGTGGAGGCAGAATTCAAATGAAGAGAGCTTTGGAATTTGGGAAACTTAAGGAAGGTCAGACTATATCTGAAGGGCCCATAGAATGCTTAATTCAATTTGGCTGTAAATATTACCCAAGAAAGAAGTGAAGACAAGTAGTAAGACCACATTTTACTTTTTAGTTTTCAGCATTTTGCTCTTAAGTACAAGCTATTTGTTCAATCATATGTTTCAATACAAACTCATCAATTTTGGGCAGTTTTCATTAACATTTTATTTTATTAATTTAGTATATGAAAATGATGATCAGCTCCTGTGGGACCCTGAGTACCTACCAGAAGATAAAGTGATTGTATTTCTTAAGGATGCATCTAGAAGAACGGGTGATGAGAAAGGTGTAGAAGCAATTCCTGAAGGATCTCACATAAAAGACAATGAACAGGTACATGAATAAGAAACAACTTTAAAATTTTTCTCAAATAAGTTAGCTATACACATTTATAAATGTAAATGTTTTTCATCTCATTTCATTGTTGTTAATTGTGTCCACCAAAACTCCTATATTATTATTAACAGGGAATCTGAGGTTATAATCAGTGTAAGACTTTACCATACTTACTACATTGGAATGATTTCAACTCGAAATTTAAAAAAAAAAAAAAAATCTTGATGTTTTATTTTGCCTGTACGTACTTTTGATACACTTTTAAAAATACCTTTGCCTATCCCTGAGAATCTGGATATTATCAAGTTGGGTTACTCATTTGAGATATTTATATACGTGGTAAGACCAGCAACTACTATATCTTTTTTATCATTGTTTTTTTTTTTCCTTTTTTAATTTCTAAATCCCTAGGGTTCTATGGCTACAAATTAAGAGTACTTATATATTCTACTCTACCCATTTAGAATATCAATACTGACTTCATGTTCATTTTTCTTTGGTGCTATGTTGCATTCACTAAAACTATTCAGAAAAGATACAGATAACTACTGGAAAAGTCTTTAAGAAATTATAGCAGTGAACTGAACTGTTCATAGTCTGGATCATACATCAAGTTTTATTTTTCTAGGCTTTATATGAATTGGTTAAATGTAATTTTGATACAGAAGAAGCATTGAGAAGATTAAGATTTAATGTAAAAGCAGCTAGAGGTAAGCATAAATGTTAAATTTTTATTTGTTTTAAAGATTTGGCAGAAATTTTAAAATTTAGCTCTTCAAGTTTACCCAAATATATCCTAAACTTAATAATACTGACTTTTCTGAATTTAATAAATATTTGCACAACATAAGTGTTAAAGAAGGCCTTATGGGAATGGGATTAAGTCAGTCTTTTCTTTTTTTATAGGGAGGGAGAAAAGTCCATTTAAGTGAAAAATATACAAAATATAATGCCTTATAATTTAAGAATATGTTTGTAAATATTTTATTATTTATTACTTGGTAATATTCATGTGAGCTAAATAATATAACAAATGTTGCCTTCACTTTAAAATTGTGAGACTTAGATCTCTTGGCTAAAATAACTCATAAGTAATGAAGTCATAACTAAAATGCAGATTTTTACTGTAGATCTGGCTTTCACCTTTACTTACCTAATAGTTAAGTAACAAGTGAGAGATACTTATTTATTCAACAAAAATTTGAGGGCCTTCTGCATTCTGAGGGTATAGTTTTGAACCAGTCTCTGCCTTCGTGGTACCTAGCAACCTAGAGAGAGAAATAGTTATGATGAGTTCTTCCAAGAAGAATTAGGGGTGCTATTAAGATCTATTGTAGGTAGCTCCGTGGAAGAATGCTTGCCTAGCATGTATGAGGTGCTAGGTTCAATCCTCAGCACCACATAAAAATAAAATAAACATATTGTATTCATCTACAACTTACAAGAAAAAAATCTGTTGTAGTTGGACTTAACCTAGTTGAGGAGAAAGTAGGATTTTAGAGGAGGCTTCCAGAACAAAATATTTTTTCTGGCATGTAGAAGAATTGTCTAGGTGAAAGAGGGGATAAGTATTAGGTCAATTGCAGGGAGTAATTCTTAGCCAACCCGTTACCATGCACAGAGTCTGAAGTAAGAAATAACTTAGTAAATTTAAGAAATTGAAAGTGGATAATACAGTTGGATCAAGAAGAATTAAGGAGAAAGTTGAGGCTGGAGAGAGAGACCAAATCATTCAAAATTTTATTAAAATCAGGAGTTTTTGTCACTTTATCTTCTCTAATGGTCTCTACTAGAGCTAGGGAATAAAGTGTTTCCCTCATTTTTTACCAGAAAGTTAGATTCATATTTGCAGTTTTGTTTGCTATGTGCAACATTTGAAACAATATTACTTACCAGTTCCCGCCCCCCTTCCCTTTTTGTCAGAGGAATTATCTGTTTGGACAGAGGAAGAATGTAGAAATTTTGAACAAGGGCTGAAGGCCTATGGAAAAGATTTTCATTTGATTCAGGCTAATAAAGTAAGTAATGATGCATGTTCTCATTTTTACAGAAAGAAAGTTAGTTTAACCCAAATAATTATATTATCTTAATTTGCTGTATTTTCTTATGCTAAAGTTTTTATAATGGATATTATAATTTTGTAAACCTCTTGACATAAATTTGCCAAGTGACTGTTTTTAGTGCATATTATTGGAAGTATTTGAGAATTGAACTCAAGTATGTTAACTAATTTCTGGTTGTGGTGTTTGTGTGTAATGCAGTTACTGGCAGCTGTTTTCTGACAAGATGTGTGTGTGTCTCTCTCTCTCTCTCTCTCTCTCTCTCTCTCTCTCTCTCACTGGGAATTGAATCCAGGTCCTCACAAAAGTTCTCTGCCACTGAGCTACATCTCCAGCTCTTGTTAAAAGATGTTTTAAGGAGGGTCTTTTAAATAATTTTGAAAACAATTAAAATATTTATTACATTTGCATAATTCCTGAGTGGTTTAAAAAATCACATTATGATTTAATGTTTCAGAGGCATCTATTTATGGTGATGATAAATTATCATCACCATAAATAGTTTTATTTAGCATGATTATTTATCATTCTATATTGATAATATAGTCTATCTCTCCAAAGAATTTCATAATTACTTGCAAATTTGGGGGTTTAATTATTACAACTGAATTCAGGTATGATTTTTAATAATACCTACCCAGTGATAGTATAGGAAAATAAGTTGTTTCTGTGGGAGATTAGGACAGACAAAACTAAAGACTCAGAATTTAAATATAGGAAATTAATCTCTAAGCTTATGAACATCCTATTATTTTTAGCAAATTCAAGAAGCTTAGCTATACATATTTTCTTTTATATGGTAGCTTGTGTAGGACCATGTTGAAAGTGCCTAGGCTTATGGCTGAAGCTCTAAAATAGTCTTTTACTATTGTCCTCTTTTTTTATGCTTCTGTGATCAGATAGTGTTCACTTGATTTGTTTCACAACATATTTAACATTAATTAGTTCATGTTCACTAAAAACGAGTTACTTACAAATTCTATTAGTTTATTTTTCTTAATCTTGATATACATTAATTAGTTCATTCCCAATTACCTTGTGTTTTGGTAATTAGCAGCAGACTATGTAATAAAAGAGAATTTTTGAGTCTTAGCATTTAGGATAACTTAAAGATAGATACAGTTGGTATCAAAAAATGTATGACCCTAATGTGTCCAGATCATCTGATAATCTCAAATATTATCAACACTCGAGGAAAGGACTATATTGTGCTAATGATTGGCTGTTTGTGTGTTTCTGATTTTTTTTTTTAACCCATTACTTCATGGATGAAAGGGACATTTCTGATCAGATTTTTCTACTATTTTTACTTGAATTCAAATACTGTTAATCAAACCATGCTAGATTACCTGTAGAGGGCATCCCTAAAATGGTAACTGATGTAACTAGCAGAAGCACCAACCCCTACCTATACAATATCTTTTTTTTTTTTTTTTTTTTAAGGAGTAAGAACTTCCTAGGTGGCTTGAAACTATGAGCCAAAAAAGTCTTAATGTTAAGTCTCATCAAGAATAACATCTTGTTTCTTTATAAAACATTTGATAAGATGATCTTTTAATGTTATAGAAGTCATCTGACATGTACTAGTTACTTCAGTGAACAAAAGGAGGACAGTAATTCCCTGAGGAAGAATAATGTTTCATTAAAAATATCAGGACTTTATTTTTATACTTGGACTCAAACTTCAGATCTTAATCATAATCTATTATGAAGGCTTATTTTGTTGAAGTTTTTTGACTTGGCTTAAATCTGAGAAATAAGATTCTTTTGGAGGCAAAAAAAAACTTAAGAGGTTGATTTTTTTTTTTAAATTTTAATCCTCATATTGCTTTCATTCTCAAGAGAAAAATGGTTCAAAGTTGTCAAGTGTAAGCAGAGAGGAAGAAAATATATATTGGATAAGGAAAGGTATCAACAGTTGTCTGCTTCAGGATCAGAAATTTTATGGGTTAAAGTACTATTACCATACATTCCAAACACTAATTCATATTCCCCAAGCAAAATAATGATAAAGGAGATTTTGTCAGCATCATTTGTTAATCCCCATAAGTCTTGAACATTATATGAGGGGATCCATTCATTTACACACATAGGTACAGCACAGTAAGGCACAGGAGTGACTTAGTAAACAAACCATAAACATAATTATAATCACTTTTATCACACTGGCATATCCTTAGACTTTTTAGAAGGTAAATTGAATTAGTCTGGATTATTGTTGGGACTAGCAAGAGAATCTTTTGAAAGAGATTAAAGGTAGATTCCCTACGTGCTTTATCAGTAGAAGTATTTTTAAACAGTTCATAATTCATTTTTCACCTAAATGCCATTTCCAGACATTTTCAATAAAAGAGCATTTACTTTGTAGTAAATTATTAGGATGGTGGGGTAGCCTTTAAAAAGTAGAATGTTAAATATCTGAAGATCAGTTGCCCCAATGTATTAATTCTCTTAATAGAAGCTTAGAAAGAAGCTATCAATATAGTTGCTGCAATATTTTATTTCATATGTAATATAATAGATCAGTTAAAGATAAGTTTATTTTCAAACTTCAAATGTTTTTCATGGAATAATTATTAAGAAGTAGATGATTCTTAAAAAACGGGTTTGTTTCTTACAGGTACGAACAAGATCAGTTGGTGAATGTGTAGCATTCTATTACATGTGGAAAAAATCGGAACGTTATGATTTTTTTGCCCAGCAAACGCGATTTGGAAAAAAGAAATATAACCTTCATCCTGGTGTAACGTGAGTTAATTTTTTCCTTTAAGGCAAAAAAAAAAAGAAATTTTTTCTTTTTACTTTTCTAGCACTTTCTTAAAAGTGTAATGGTTTTTAGACTCTTACTTTTGTAATAAAATTACATTAGTTTAAATTTTTACCTTTATAGGGCATTTAGACTTTTCAGTGTCGTATAAAAGATTGTAAGCCACATCTCATATTATTCGAAACAACAAATCTATCATTAAAGCAAAGTTTAGAGTGTATATTTTTGTTATGTACCCCTGAGAAAAATATATCAGAACAACTGTGGAAAAGTGTGTTATTATACAGTTTTAATCCCTAAGAATTCTTTGAGAGCAGTGGAAATAGGAAAATTTTTGTTTTCTAAAACTAGGTGATATGACTAGTAGAGGCCCTTTAAAGAAGAAGGAAAATTAATATTTTTCCTTGTCCAGTCTTTTTTGATCCCAGGAACCAAAATAAGATTTGAATGTGATGTTCTAAAAAGGGAAAAGTAAAGGCATATAATAAATCCGGTCAAATTGCATCCTGTTTTTTGCTACCAACTTTTTATAGAAGAGAGAAAATGCACATAGTGACTTTCTTTTTCCTAGCTGTCCTGAATCTTTAAGAGAAGTAATATTTAATAATCCAGCTCTAGCTTTCTCCCAATGACATAGATGTGGGTTGTTGAATGTACTCTATGCAAAATGTTTTGTTATACCTAATATAGTTCTCGTGCATCAAATTCTTTTAGCCTCATTCAGTCTGGTTTTAGAATGAAACATACATTCTACCACCAAGAAACAAGTAATTGTTAAAAGTATATACTTAAAGTACAAAGAATATTGAACTCTTTTTTTATTTAGTTGTATGTGGACACAGTACTTTTATTTTACTTATTTATTTTTATGTGGTGATGAGGACCAAACCTCACACATGCTAGGCAAGCATTTTACCGCTGAGCCACAACCCCAGCCCAAGTACTGAACTCTTCATCTCACACAAATCATTGTTTTAAAATATCAATGAATTGTTATGGCAGAATTAACTTTATATGATAGATACTGCCCTTGATTATTCCCTAATGTTTGCAGAATATAAAATAATGCAAAGCTAGGGCTTGATTTGATCAATACTCATCAATAAAGATGTTCTTAATTAAGGCTGTCAAAATAATTGATTTTCAAAGATCTGCTTTACATGTATATTTGATTGTGTTTTTTAAACTCCTAGGCTATACTTTCTTGGTTGCATTAAATTATAGGTATGTGTCTCTCTTGGTCACTTCCTTGGAGGATCCAATATTCAAAAGCCCAAAAGCAAAATAGTTTAAAAAGGAATAAATGAGTATAATTGGCTCTTGGAAATCATGAGACCATGGACTGTGTACTTCATCCCTTGTTATTCAAAGCTGGTGATTGGGTGTAATTTTATGTAAGCAGCATTCCAGCGTTTAACTACTTAAGTGTTATTGAAATAAAATTTTTATGGGTTATTCATTGGTAGTATACAAGCATTATGATATAGGACTAAATATATCTCTCCGGTAGGCAGCGTATATCTTAAAATAGTCTCAGTTTTCAACTATTCTGTAGGGAAAAATAATAGTAACATCTTTCATTTTTTTCACCCATTTCAGAAATAATGTTCACACATGAACTACAGTCAATCTGTCATCATCAGCAGTAAGAACATAAGAGTTGTCATTCTGGGTCAGACTCATGGTTCATCCAGTTTTCTCTTTGAGAAAGCATCACCAAGGGAAGTGTTGTGGGCTGGCTTAGTTGGTCCTCTGTGATGTCAAGCTCAACAGGTTAGGTAGGGATGTACCACCAAACATTCTAGTTTCTATAATAATCTCTCCATAGTTTATGAAAACTTTTTGAAGATACTTATATCTAATAAGCTTGAATCCTGCTTAAGTATTCTGGGATGCAATAAGCATAGTAACCCATATCTTATGTTTTCTCAGGCTATAAGAGTTAACAGTGATCCCTTATTGAAATGGTATGATGTGAACAAATGTGTTTTTTTCCCTTAGGCCAGATTACCATGGTTTTGTAGACATCAGTTATAACTCCTCTGGGTCTTTTATAATGCTTTTTAAAACAGAAAGAACCATAATTTATTTTTAAGTAAGATTCATCCTTTTTAGCTGTACAGTCTTCAATAAGAAGCAGTAACCAAACCATACATGATTTTTCAGATAGGAAGAAATTGTGGGGTTTTTTTGTTTGTTTGTAAGTGTAGAGAAATTTTTCTGGTTTGCTTCCATTTTCTATTAAAACTTACATTTTAAATGCTGTATTAAAACATGAAATTACTGCCTATAGGGAAAAATTTGTGTGTGAGTTTTTCTTAACCTTTATAATTTCAAACTCTGTAGTTCAGAACACAGTATCCTGAAAGTTATTTATTTTTCCATTAAATTGTTACTTTTCATTTGTTTACCACAATGAAGCATGTTTGCTACTTTTCTACCTACAAATAGTTTTTGAAAGATCTAGCCACACGCAAATTTGAGATTTCATTCATCTTTAGAAAATGACAATCATTGTTCTTTATATCATTGCCATATTCAGAAATTTAAAATAATTTTGATATCTAATAACTCTAGCTTCCTTTTGGCTTTTAACATCCTTTATTTTTCATTCCCACTAAGCTATATTCATTTTCACCCTTCTTAATCATGTATCTTCTGTTCTCTTAGCCTTAGTTTCTGACATCCATTGGTATTCATCAAACTCATTTCCATTTCTTTGTACTTCAGATTACTTATGTCATTGCTCTGTAATTATAATCTCCATTTATAAATGAGGAAAATAATGCCCTAAAATGATTAGTCATAGTGATATATGTTTCTATGATATGCATTGGCTTTATGCCTCAGACTATTTGAATCATCTTGAGGTTGGATACGACATTCCTCTATTTATGATATCCTCATAACCCGGGTGGCAGTGGTCATAATATAGTTTAAGTTTATAACTACAATTAATAGTATATTGTAGAATATTTCCATGGAATTTCATAAAAGTCCTAAGAGGTTTAACTGTTTCCTTCTTACATTCTTAATTTATTGCAAAGTTCTAAGAGACTCATTTACTTTTAAGGAATTTTAAAATAAGTATTTATTGAATTTATTGATGCAGTGGTAAACAAAATAGACTAAAGCTCCTGCCCTTGGGTAATTATATCTTAGTACAGGAATAAGCAAACATTTTTATGTAAAGAGATAGAAAATAAATATCTTAAACTCTGCAGATCTTAAGGTCTGTGTCACAACTACCCAGCTCTGTTGTCATTGCATGAAAACATTCATAGACACTAATATGTGTGGCTACATGCCAATAAAACTTAACAGATGGCTAGCCCACAGGACATAGTTTGCTGACCTTTATCTTTTACAAAACATTTTCATACATACCTAATAGAACAACCACGTGTGATAGGTAGGACAGGTATAACTTATCTGCATTTTATAGGTAAAGACACTAACCCTCAAAGAGACGAGTATTTAAGCCCAGATCTTCTCACCCTAACCCAGTGTCACTTACCACAACTATGTAGTTACGAATAACACAGGGAAGAATTGCGCTCATCTTAAAAGATACTGACAGTATAAAAATCCACAGATAAGCCTGAGAACTTAGCTTATTATAGCTCAGATCTCACAGAAAGGTAATAACAGAAGGTATTTAGAAAGATTTTTAGAGATGGTCAGTCCTCTTCATTGTGTCCCAGTTTATCTTCCTTCTGCATTTAGGAGCTTTAAAATCCAGCTTTTGCTCAGAACTTATTTTGTGTTCCTGATGACAGCATCCTGATCTCTTCACTTGCAGATGCTTCAGTTTTAGTTGGACCACCCTAAGCACTTGCCTACAAATTTAAGTTTTTAAACTTCCCATGGGTCTTTAAATTTTGCTAGTTTAAAGCCTTTATGCATTTTCCCTATAAACATGTAACCAAAAGAGACTTCATTTAAATGTTTAGATCCTGGTGCAAGATATAAGGCATTAGATTTAATGGAAGTGAAAATTAGGATATTTTTGTTAATGAAAACTTGAAAATTTAACCTCAACTAATTTAAATTTTAAACTTTTTTATTGTAAGAAAATAATTGTATTATTATTTAACTTAATTTTAAAGGGACTACATGGATCGGCTTCTGGATGAAAGTGAAAGTGCTGCATCAAGTCGAGCACCATCCCCTCCCCCAATTGCCTCAAACAGTAGTAACAGCCAGTCTGAGAAAGAAGATGGCACTGTAAGCAATAGTAACCAAAATGGTAAGTAACTGATAAAACATTTCTATTCCTTCATGGTAAGGGACACTTTTCTTTCAGTAGTTCAAGAAACTCAGTTTGTGTTTTTGCCAGACTTCCAAAGCAGAAAGTGAAAATTTTTAAGTAACGTATGAAACATATATAATGTCAGCATACATGTATTTTAAAAGACATAGAATACATAGTAATTGGAAAGAGGTTCTCATTAACATTCCTAAAAAATAAATTTACTAAAGCATACTACCAACAATGTCCATTTCTTTTTAAGAAATTTGTTTTCAGTAGCATCTCTTATCTAGATGAGATGATGCCTGGATATACGTATTGGTGTTAACTTCTAAACCAGAATTACAGGCATTTCACATCAAGATTATAATTATTTATAAAATACCTTGAATGTTTGTATCATTTAAGTGCTGTAAGCCTATAAAGAAAAAAAATAGGTAATAAGGGCACCGCTTTGACTATTTGGATTATCTTTAGTAGCATAATAACCTTGAAGATTTTCTTCAGTATCTCATGATACATTAATCCCTTTGTGCATTCAGGTTGAGTGCATTTTTGAGCTAGGGAAAGTAGAATATTTTCTTTGAACCAGAATGTAATTCTTTATGCTGAATATTTTTCAGGTAATTAAACTTTAATTATCTCTTGTGGTGGGTCCTGTATTTACTTCCTATCACCAAAATTTAAATTCCATTTTGCCATCAATTCTAGTATGATCTTTCTGTCATTCCTTACTTTTATTAGAATAATTATGCTTTAACTTTTCTTAACCGATTGTGGAGGAATTTGTATTTACTTTTAGTACTTTTTTTAAGTGTACGTTTGGACACTGCAACATTAAATTTTTACAAAACGGATTATTTAAATCCCCTTAGATAAATATAGTGTGTGATCTTTTAAAGCACAAAACCGATAGATTTTATTAATAATAAAAAAGTTATGGCATCTTGATTTTATATGGCTGTAGAAAATTTTAAGCTTCTATAATAATAACCATTGATTTTGTTTTTACATAGATTTAGAAAGTCAGCCCTTTTGCTAAGTCTGGATAGTTTATGCGTATCTCTGTGGTTCAGCTTATTTAGGCTATTAGATCCAGTGCCTCTATTTTTTTTTTTTTTTTTTTTTTTTTTTGTACCAGGGATTGAACTGCTGAACCATATCCCCAGTCCATTTTTTATGTTTTATTTAGAGACAGGGTTTCACTAAGTTCCTGAGGCTGGCTTTGAACTCCCAGTCCTCCTGCTTCATCCTCCCGAGCCTCCAGTGCCTCTTTGTTGTCACATAATACCTAGTATTCTTTTAATATATGCCAAAATTTGTGAGGTGCAGTGGCACACACACACGTAATCCCAGCAACTTGGGAAGCCAAGGTAGGAAGATCACAAGTTTGAGGCCAACCTCAACAACTGAAGACACTCTCAAAATAAAAAATACGAAGGGCTGGTGATGTAGTTCAGTGATAAAGTACCCCTGGGTTCAATCCTTAGCACAAAACGAAGGGAAAAAAAATTAACATGCCAAATTCTGTTCTTTGTTTTTTACATTTATTAACTTACTTGATTTTTACAAGGTATGTTGTAAGGTAAACCGTTCTGATCCTCATTGAGTATATGTGATGAAAATGAGGTACAGAGAGTGTAAGGAGTTGGCCTAACATCACACAGCTAGTAAGTAATGGAGCCAAAATTTAGACCATATCTGCTTTGCTTCTTTGGAAGAAAAAAAAAAAAGGTATTTTGCAGTAGCTGTTTATAATAGTTTACAAATTTAACTTTTTTGTACTAGCAGTTTTATTTATCTTTCTTTCTACTTAGGGGTGTCATCTAATGGACCAGGTGAAATATTAAACAAAGAAGAAATAAAAGTTGAAGGATTACATGTCAATGGACCAACAGGTGGAAATAAGAAACCACTTCATGCAGACATGGATACTAATGGTTATGAAACAGATAACCTAACCACTGATCCAAAACTTGCCCATATGACTGCAAGAAATGAAAATGATTTGGATGAAAAAAGTGAGAGACCTGCCAAAAGGCGAAGGGTAAACAGCAATGGAAAAGAAAGTCCAGGTTCTTCTGAATTTTTCCAAGAAGCAATATCACATGGAAAATTTGAAGAACTTGAAAACACAGATGACTAAATTTTAGGCCTATTTTACTTTATTTGGAAAAATTCTGGTGTGACTAAAATTTTCAGGGTTGATGGGTTACCTTAAAATTTTTTTATTTCCTACAAGCAATTGGTTAAAATTTGAAAATTTGAATTGAATCCTAACTTTTTAGGAAATAAGATTTTATAATTCTACCTTTTTCAAGATCTTTTTCTTCACAACTATCAGACCCTTTCAAGGATATAAAAATAATTTAGCAAATTTGAATGAAGTAAAGATATCAGTACCTTTTCATTTGATGTATTAATCATAAAATCTCACTACAAGGTAATTTTTCTTTAGTTTCATATGGAGGAATACCAGGAAAGAAAGGAAAAAAATAATAAGTTTAGAGTTCTGCTTAACATCAATTTTTCTGAGTTTCTTGAAATATCCTTATAACAGGCATTGTTTCTCCATATAAATTGAGTATCATTATTAAGGGAACCCTTATGAATCCTGAAAGTTATGCTAGCATGATTTTTTTATATATAGAAGTTTAAAATAAACCAAGTCAGGTTTGTATATGTAAAATTGTTGACATCAATGATGTCTTTCCATATTCTTATCTGGGCTTAAGAAATACATTCTGTATTTTTCCAGATTCTTTGTAGCCTTTGAAAGATTTTTACAGTACATATGTCTTGACTGAGCTGTCCTTTCTTAATACAAAAAAGCTTGTATAATTTTCTTAACTTGTACAGTTGGTAAACTTTTATGAGAGGAATTGATATCCTGAGTCTGTCAGCTTTCATTTTATTTTGCTGAGGTTTTTCTAATGAATTTTTAAGTGTTTATGTAGTTAACTAAGTCCTGTTTCTTATCCAGGTGGCAAAAGCCTTCATTAAGAATAGTGAAAATTTGTTTTTTTTTTTCAAATTTCTTCTATGGACAAATAATTTGAGAATTCTGAAATTAAGCATGATGCTTAGATTGCACAGTTTGTTTTTTATTTGCTATAATTTTCAAAGTTATTTTTTAAGTAAAACAAAGGTTTAATGTCAGCTTAAATGTGTCATGCTGACTAGACTCCTGTTTAGTTATTTTTATATGCATTATAAAGTTTCCCGGTTTTGCATTAAATCAATAGAGGGGAAAAGGTTAAGTGATATTAATATATTGGCACACAAGGAGTAACTGTTGATAGGCAACAGTATTGATTTTATGAGAAAAATGATGGAGTTTGAAGAGTTTTCAGACCTTTGCAATATAAGCCAGTTTCCAGATAATGTTTTTCCAGAATGAAAATAAGATATATAGATAAAACCATTTCTCTGTGTGATGACAAATGGGATTATCCATCTGCATAGTCATGTAAGGGTGCCATTTTATTTTTAGTGCAAAATTCTTGTTAAGAAAATGTAGTTTTATACAGCTAATAGACCAACCTATATCCAGACTTTTATAAAAGATTATTAACTATTCTTTTCTCACACAGACATATCCCCAAATGCTTCTTCCAGTTCATTTTTAGCCATCAGTTCAAGAAGCCAATGCCTTTTAAAAATAAATCTTCAGTAGTCTTCTTTTTAATGACTCAATTGTCTAATGCAACTGAGTAGAGGTTTGCACTGAGAAATTGTCATTTAGGCCTTATCCCCCCCACAAAGTATTAGTAACATTTGTTCATACTGCTTCCTTTCACCAATATGAACAACTTTTTTCCCCAAACAGTGTTTAAAGCCACTTTACAACACTTGATGTCATATAATGTACATTCACTGTTGTTACATAAATATACAAGTAAATCAAGTTTTGGGTAGAAGTGTCAAGAAGCAATGAATTTTTTGTTGTTTTTGTTTGTTTTACCTAAAACATTAATTTATCCAGAATGATGGTAGTTTTAGCAGATGGTCACAATCCATTTTTAAACCAGATTTTATGAAATGAATCCAAAGCCTCCTAGCTCTTCGTCAAAGATGGTCTTTAGAATAGCAATGCTGTGCTTTTTTAAATGGTTGCAATATTAAGATGCCGTTTTCACCTTTTTTAAAAGATACATTTTGTTTGCTGGTTTGTGAAGTTCTTACAAACTTATTATAGGAATGTTTTAAGTAAATTCTCAGGCATGATTACAAATGCGGCACATGTATAAATGTTAGGAAAATTTTACTTTTCTTGTCTTTTTAAAATATGCATAATGAACATTCCACTATTATAATACATAATGTTCAGCTTTTATTAAATATTTAATTGTATTTTGTGTTTATACAGGCATTTCACACTTCTTCATAACACAGCCACTATAATTTGATAAGTCATTGCACTATTTAAAAATTTTTTAGTAATATCATGAATTTAATTTGCTTAAGATTTAGTACATTTCATAACTCTTGAACTCTCTGACAAACTGCATTGGGAAAAGAAGCCTTTGTTAGTAGTTACTTATCTCCCTACCCCACTCCCACCCCAGCAAAGCACTATCATTTTCGTTTGGTATTGTTTTATGATGTTTTCAGATAGAGTTCAGAATCTGCAACTCAGTTCAACACAAATATGTTGAGCTTTAAAATGTATCTGAAGTAATATTTAAATAGGCATTTAAAATTATGAATTAGATGTTTTTAAATTTATGCATAGTAATTTTGCACTGTAAAATATTTACCTTCTCCCATTCCCTTCTGTCATTTCTGAATATGCTTATTAAAATATTTTTTTAACATATTTGTGTACATAATGCTGTGTGAGTGATTTTCATTAGGTTTTAGTTACAGATTTTTAAATCTATATGATGATGCACATTATTTTACAATGCAAATATTTACAATCTCTTTCTTCCACTCCTATGCATATTGCACCGAGTAGTTTTTCAATGATTCTTGTTTTCTTTTACCTGATACCGGGTGATATATTTTTGTCCCCACCCACCCACCCAGAGATCCTTTAGTCCTAGAACCTCCATTCACCCTGTATCTCTTTCTCTGGACTATATAATTAAAAATAATTTATTCCTTTCTTTTGCAGTGGAGTTCACATCATATAATATTTTGCAAAATAAAACTTGTTTCTTCACAATATTTGCTTTGCTATCAGTGGATAATTGAGTGGGAACTTTGAATAAGTGAAGATTGACAAACTTCCATGGCAGTAGTTAGATGTGTGCTGATGTGCCAAGGGATTAAATACCAAATCAGAAATTTCTAAGGTTTTCCTAGCTATTATTCATAACATCAAAAATGCCACTGTAGAAAATCATCAGGAGCAATAGGAATTTTCAGATTTTAATCTTCTATCTCACTGAAAAGGACTTTTTCTAATACATGTTTACTGTAAACTTCTTTATTATGCACTCTTAAGATTGTCTGGATCTGGGGCTGGAGTTGTGGCTGAGCGGTAGAGCACTCGCCTAGCACGTTGAGACCCTGGGTTCTATCCTCAGCACTACATAAAAATAAATAAATAAAATAAATGTATTGTGTCAACTACAACTAAAAAATACTTATTAAAAAAAAAAAAAAAGATTGGATCTGCTGGCTATGGTGTCTTACACCTGTAATCTCAGCAACTCTGAAGCTTAGCCCTTGGATTATAAATTCGAGGCCAGCATCAGTAATTTAGTGAGGTACTGGACAACTTAGATGCTGTCTCAAAAAGGGGGCGGGGGGACTTGGGACTGTAGCTCAGTAGTACTAAAGTACCCCTGAGTTTAATCCCTAATACTATCCCCTGTTTGCCCCCCAAAAAAATATTTTTTGGTGTGTAAATCGTTGGGCATGGAGTTTTTCCCTTTCTGAATATGATGTTTTCTCATAGCTTGTCTATATACTGGCTCATATGACTTATTTGGGATGTATAAGGTACTTTAAATATTTTTTTTTTCTGAGTAAGAAGTAGTTTGAATATACTGAAGGAAGGTTCATATTTAAATGCTAGCAGTGACAAGTTTTCTTTGTGTTTACAGACATGTACTTTATTATCCTGCATATATTTGGGCTTGTAAAGAAGAAAAGAGATCTGGGCCCTGAATTGGGAATGGTTTCTTCCAGAAACTGAACATCAAGCAGATTATATCAGAGTGATCTGAACCATTTTAAATTCCTGACCAGGAAATCTAGGGTTAGAGTAAGAATTTATTCAAAATAGAAACTCTTCAGTACCTTAGTCCTGAGCTTGTCACCAGCTGAGCACTATTCTTGTCACTAGTTGGACTTTTGCCAAGTGAACATGAAAAACCAGTTCTGGTATAAGGAGCTAATAGTGATAACAGTCATTCAGAGTATGCGCTTTTGAATTTATTATTTTAAAAATACTCTATCAGGCATGTGTGAGGCCCTGGGTTCTATCCCCAGTTCCACAAAAACAAAAACCTCCATTACGTCCCTCTGAGCACATGTACATACATACATATTTTAGATGATGGAAATTTATTTGGGTGGCTGCTGGTCATGACCTTTCAAACAGCCTAAATTGGGAGCTTCATGAGCTGCTTTGCTGTATGGTGTCTTCTGCTGTGTTATCTGCATTTGCCTCTAGTGTTTAAGTGACAGTTCTTTGCATTTTAAAAAGCATATTAATACCTGCAAAACTCATAGGTGGCCAGTGCAAGTACCAAGCCAAAGAGAATGACACAGCTTACTGTTGTGTCAGATATACCTGTGGCTGAAAAGAGCAGGATGACCCCATTTTTTGTGAAATGGACATATTTTTTCCATTACGTATGCATAGGGAAATAAGTCATATGCCAAAAGCAATAGTTACTTCCAAATTGTGGAATTACTGTGGTCAAACACCCTTAGTCTTCTGTTACAGCATGTGTCACAGATGCCCTTTTGGTTTTACAGGATTCTTTTCCCTATCTGGCAGTATGCCTCTTGAAAACAAAGCATCTGCTCGTCAAACAAGTTAGATTTTTCAATTGACCTGTGAACATTTGTCTCACCTGCTCTAAAAGGCAAGCAAGCCTACCTTTGGCTACTTTCTCCTATTTCCCTGTGCCTTTGGGAATAAATCCTGAGCTGTACTTTGTATTGCCCCCATTTCTTCTCACTTGCACTGAGAATAAAAGGGTATCTTTTTTTATTCTACTTAACTGTACATCGCAATGCATTTTGACAAATCATACATAAATGGAGTATACTTTCCCATTAGTCTGGTTGTACATGATGCAGAGTTCCACAGGCCAAGTAAACATACATGCACATAGGGTGGTAATAGCCAATTCATTCTATTATTATTACCCCCATACCCCCTACCCCCTTTTAACTTCCCTCTAATTCAAAGTATCTATTCTTCCCTACCCACCCTCCTCCCCCCATTGGGAATTAGCATCTGCATGTCAGAGAAAACATTGGCCTTTGGTTTGGGGGGATCGGCTTATTTGACTTAGCATAATATTCTACAGTTCCATCCATTTACTGGCAAGTGCCATGATTTCATTCTTCTACCATTGTGTGTATATACCACAATTTCTTTATCCATTCATCTGTTGAAGGGCACCTAGGTTAGCTCCATAGTTTAGCTATTGTGAATTGAGCTGCTATAAACACTGATGTGGCTGTGTCACTGTAACATGCTGATTTTATTTAATATGCTGATTTTAATATGCTGGGTATAAAATGAGAAGTGGGATAGCTGGGTCAAATAGTGGTTCCATTCCAAGTTTTTCTGAGCAATCTCCATATTGTTTTCCAGAGTGGTTGTTCCAATTTGCAGTCCCGTCAGCAATGTTTGAGTGTGCCTTTAAAAGGTGCATTTTCATCTAGGCACAGTAGTATTAACCCCATTGCTGGTAAAGCAACTTTTTTTGGAAGTTTAGAAAAGCTTTCTTTCCTTAGATGGCTCTCAGAGTAACAGCACCTCCCATTGGTTGTGTGCTTCTATACATCACCCCCTAGATTACACACAGGTCCAAGTCCAGTTCTGTGGCTTGAATAATAAGACTAGTATTCAAGTGGGGACAATCTGTTTCTTTTAGAGATTATATTTCTTGTTACAAATTTGAAAAGTGTTTCTGAACCACTGTCATTTTCTGTCCATGTTGATGTTCATGAGGTAGATCCTGTAGCCAGCAATAGAATTAATTTAATGCTTTGAGCCAAGCTAATATCTGTCAGTACTTCTAAATACTCTTCTTTGCAAACTCCTCCAAGCCTGGCCTTGCATCTCCTTATCTCCAACAATACCTCCTACTGTGTTTCAACCAAAGGAGTGCCTAAAATATGTGTTTTGTTCCTCCTGTTCAACCTACAGTCTTCATTCCTTCATTTCTTTCTTCCTCCCTCTCCCTCCCTTTCTTTCTTTGTAAGAAAGAAAGGGAGGGAGAGGGGTTGAATCCAAGGGTATTCTACAACCTACATTCTCGACCCTCGTAATTTTTAGACAGAGTCTTACACTAAGTTGTCCAGGCTGCCCTCAAACATGTATCCTCCTCCCTCTGCCTCCTGAGTCACTGAGGTTACAGGTGTGTGCTGCAATGCCCAGCATTTACAGGCTTTTTATTTTGTCACACCATCCTTTTTTTTTTTTTAATCTCCACTCATCCACATTCAGCCATGTTTAAGATATCTTATCTGATAAGATATCTTAATGTGGTAAACAAAACCGCTAAACTTAGTAAAATAAGGATGATACCTGCCAGGCCAGTATCACATAGCTTTTAAGACTATGAGATCACACAGAGGAAATCTCTTGTCCCTGTGAGTGCTGAATAAAGGTAATAGGACAGGTCTACAATCTCTTATCCAAAACTCCTGTGACCAGAATTTTATAGAGAAGAAATTTTTTAAAATAACGACAACAAGATGTCTGAAACAGAACCCTATGGTCAAACACGCTTAGGTCCACACTAAAATATATTTAGACAAATTTCAGATCAGACTTTGATGTCAAACATAGGCAACAACCCAAGAAGGCAACTTGGTTTTCAGAGCCCTGTGTATTTTCATAATTGCAAACTTTTAGTAGCTGTTTTAGTCAGCTTTCTGTTGCTGTGATCAAAATACCTACTAACGATTTACAGGAGGAAAAGCTTGTTTGGGGCTCATGCTTTCAGAGGTGCAATTCATGGTCAGCTGACTCCCTTGTTCTGGGCCAAAGAGAGGCAGAAGAGCAAAAGTTGCTCAGTTCATGGCCATCAGAAGCAGAGACAGAGCAAGGAGCCAGGGACAAAATATATTCCCCAAGAGCAATCCCCCAATGACCTACTTCCTCTAGCCATGCCCCATCTTGTCTACAGCTACCACCCAGTAGTCCATTCGAATTATCAATCCATTTAATTGACTAAATCCACATATTTACAGCTCTCGTAATATCATTTCACCTCTGAACATTTACTTGCATTGTCACATGAGCTGTCTGTTTTGGAACAGCTCATACCCAAATCATAAAAGTAGCCTCCAGATTTCTGCTAGCATTCAGTTGGCAATTTCTTGGAACTGTCTTTACTTTCTATGTGAGTGACAAAGATGCAAAAAAACTAGCAGGTGTGCTTTGACATGTACAGCAGCTACAACAGAATCTTGCACTCTCTGACCTTTCTGCAGGGCCAACAGGAATACTGTAAACAGCCTGTGAAGTCGAGATGTGGCCCTCTGGAGCCCCATAGCAGTCCTTTCATTTTATAGACGGGAAAAATCTAAGGCCTAAAATGAAAAAAAAAAAAAAAAAAAAAACAGCCTTGTCCAAGGTTCAATAACCTTAGACTCAGCTTCTTAGACACTCAAATC